TAATAGTCAGTGAACTAAAACCAGAGGATGTCATTCCTAACATAGAAGTAGCATTAAGTTCAACTGATAAGACGACAGCAGAAGAGGTTCGAGCACAATGTGCGTTAACCCTGAAAAATCAAAAGGAAGCTAAATCAAACTTAACAAAATCGGAAAGATAAGCTCTAATTAGTCTAAAACAGGATAAAAACATCGTCATCACAAAAGCTGATAAACGTAACTCCACAGTAGTTTTGGATAAATCTGAATATATCAAGAAAGTCACTGAACACATTGAAACGGGTCCGTCCATATCAGGAAATTAAGAAGCCTGTAGGTACAATAATGAATAAGATTAAGAAATCTACAGCGGATTTAATACGCAGAATGAAGCCGTCACTCGGTGAGTCTAAATGGTTTAATTAAATGCCTAAAACTAATAATGCTAGTAGAATGTATGGTACTAATAATATACACAAGCCAGGTTACCCCATACGACCAATAGTGGATTTTAGGAATACTCCTACTTATGAATTATCAAAACACTTAGCTCTAATATTATGTCCCATTAGAAATCGTTCAAACTCTAGGCTAACTAACTAATTCATATGAGATGAAAAAGAAACTAAATGACATTTAACTAGACAATAATGAAGCAATGGTTAGTTTTGATATAACTAGTATAACTTGTACTAATATGCCAATCAATATGGAAGCCTTAGAAGCAGTCGACAGAGAACTAACTGCAGATCCTGAAATTACTCATAGGACGAAGCTGCCCATTGAGGAAATTATTTAAGGCATTCAGTTATGCTTCACATCTACTATCTTTAAATTTCAGGGCAAAATATACAGACAAACAGAAGGTGTGTAACAATGAGATGGATCACCAATATCCCCTATCGTAGCAGATATCTTCATGGATGGATAGCTGGGAAAACATTGCTCTTAATACATTCACCTAATCCTCTTCCAAAAATATGGTGGAGATATGTGGATGACACTTTCACACACAGTGTTGAAAACAGAACATCTCTCTCACTCTAGCTACTTCACACACACACACACACACACATAAACTCACTAGTAAAGGGAATAAAATTCACATCTGAATCACAAGATAAACAAGGAGAATCAGCTGTGATGTTAGAGTGTAAAATAAAACGAAGAGAAGAAGGTAAACTGCACACTAGCGTTAACAAAAAGCCAACGCATTCTACTAATAAAGATTTAGACTTCAGTTCATCTCATCCGTTCGTTATCTGTCTGTTAAGGCAGGCTTAGTTAAGTGTCTAACAAACAGGGCAATAACAACACTGAGTAGTACAAAAAACGACCTAAATGATGAAATAAAACAGATAGAAGAAGCGTTGGTGTGAAATAGCTAACTATCCTATAAAATTCATTAGGAAGATGAGAAAAGGTTGAAAGCAAAATATAAATAATGGTGAAACTAATGATGATAACTAATATAAATAAGAGAGCATATAAGGCATCTACTGTTATACCATATAGGGAGGGGACATCTGAGACCCTACGTAGGATTCTTAATAAAGCAGGAATTAGAGTGGTGGTATTAATATATGTGTAAAACTTGGGCACTGTGGTAGTAAGTAATTCCATATTAGTTTGTTTATTAGGTATATCACACAGTGAAACAGTATTATTTACTGGATGACGTTTCGAACAAAATTTATTGTTCATAATCATATCAATTGTGATCACACGACTTTGACACTTGAGTTTTATAGCTTTCTTTGTTTTCTCCCATTTGTCGTAGGGGGAGTAGAATTTTCCAGATATCGGGGACAGGTGATGAATCATTCCTATTACATGTATTTGCAGTTGATTCGATAAACAAAGCTTCTGTTATCAATCTCTCCCTATACCCTGTGACATTAGATTTTAAAACTGTCATCCTATCCCATCCTATTGTATGGTTGTGTGTGACTGCATGTAGTGCTATAGCTGAACTATTCTCTAGATTTCTTATTTTATTCGGGTCAACCAATCTAGATTTTGCTAAGTTTTTATGTTCAGCTAGTCTGACTGCCCCTGTTCTACTAGTTTGACCTATGTATTTGACCTGACAATCATTGCAGGGTATTAGATAAACTAAATTGCTTTGTTTTAAAGGCTCTACAGGATCCTTTAGCCGACAAAGCTTGTTTCTAATTGAGTTTGTGGGTTTGAATGCCGTTTTTATTCCTGCCTTGTTTAGAATTCTGCGTAAGGCTTCCGAGGTTCCTTCTTTGTATGGAATTACTACTGATGATTTAGACTCTTTATTGTTGGTGTCGTTATCAATATTATTATTATTGTCACTATTATCATTATTATTGTTATTATCACTATCGCTATTATCATTATTTATTTTATTTTTACATTTCCTTACATATTTCCTGACTAATTTATCCGGGTAATTATTAAGTTTCAAGGCTTCTTTTATATGTATCAGTTCTTGGTTTAGATTTTCTTTGGTACTACTTAATTTTTGTGCTCTGTCATTTAAACATTTCACCAATCCTACTTTTACTGACATAGGATGGGATGATTGGAAGTCCAAATATCTGTTTGAGTGTGTGGGTTTCCTGTAAACACTAGTGTTTAACTTCCCATCTTCTTTCCTTTTTACGTTGCAATCTAACATTGGGAGCTCCCCTTCCTGATTTTCCAATTCATAAGTGAATTGAATTGCCTCAACCTTCGAGTTTATGTGTTCGAAAAACCTATCTATATCTTGTGTTCTAAGTACAGTGAATGTGTCATCTACGTACCTCCACCATACTTTTGGGGTGGGGGTGAACGTTTCAATCGCTATGCTTTCCCACTTATTCATGAATATATCTGCTACCACTGGGGATATTGGTGATCCCATGGCAACTCCCTCAGTTTGTTTGTATATTTTCCCTTGGAATTTAAATACTGTGGAAGTCAGGCATAGCTGTACTCCCAGCATTATGTCCTCAAGTGGCACTTTTGTCCTAAGTTCGAGGTCTTGGTCAGAAATGAGTTCGTTTCTGACTGCCTCTATAGCCATATTTATTGGTATACGTGTGTATAAACTGACAATATCAAAACTAACCATTTTTTCTTCATTATCTAATTTTAAATTATCTAATCTATGTTTTAGTTCATAAGAATTAGTTAGTCTAGATTTCGAGTGGATTTTTAAGGGATTTAATACCATGGCTAAATATTTAGATAATTCATAAGTAGGTGAATTTCTAAAATCAACTATAGGTCTAATAGGGTATCCTGACTTATGAACTTTAACAACACCATACATCCTACTGGGGTTATTAGTTTTGGGCATTAAATTAAACCACTTAGACTCACCTAGAAACGGCTTCATTCGGCGTATAAGATCCGCTGTGGATTTCTTAACTTTATTCATAACTGTATCTATTGGTTTATTAATTTCCTCATATGGTCCTGTTTGTATGTGAGTATTTACTTTGTCCAAATAGTCTGATTTGTCTAATACCACTGTTGCATTTCCTTTGTCTGACTTTGTGATAACTATATCTTTGTTATTCTTAAGGTGCTTCAAGGCTTCTATCTCTTGTTTTGTCAGGTTAGGCTTTCCACATTTTTGTCGTTTTAGTGTTAGTGCACATTGTGCCCGTACTTCATCAGCCGTAGTTTTGTCTATCCCACTTAGTGCTATTTCTATTTTAGGGATGACATCCTCAGGTTTCAGCTTGTCTAGAGATACATTGAAATTTAGTCCCTTTTCTAATACACTTATTTCTGTAGGACTTAATGTATGTGTTGAGAGATTGACAACCCACTTTGATTTATCGATCGCCGTTGACTTTTTGTTGTTGACTTCATCATTCTGAGATGTAGATTTCTCTTCTAATAATTTGTTGAACTTTTTGATTTGACTATTTTTTGACTTTTTGAAAGTTGCTGATTTTGCAATGCTGGAGGACTGCGTTATAAGATCATAATCTGTACTGGTAACTATTCCTTTTATCTTTTGTTTTAATTGCTCAATTTCAGATCTGATATGTTGCAACTTTTTTACGATTCTGTGGATTTCTTCTTTCAGGCATAATTTTTGTAGGCCTTCTATTCTGCTTCTAACTCTGTCCGATGGAACTGGTGCTCGTAGACGTAGATATTTAGGAATGATTTCATTTTTTTGGCATCGAATGTTGAAAATACGATGATTTTCATATCTTGCTTCAGTTTGTGAAAGTCGAGTGAGTTTATTGATAAGTCTTCGTACAGGAAGACCATAAGTCATATTAATATATGTGTAAAACTTGGGCACTGTGGTAGTAAGTAATTCCATATTAGTTTGTTTATTAGGTATATCACACAGTGAAACAGTATTATTTACTGGATGACGTTTCGAACAAAATTTATTGTTCATAATCATATCAATTGTGATCACACGACTTTGACACTTGAGTTTTATAGCTTTCTTTGTTTTCTCCCATTTGTCGTAGGGGGAGTAGAATTTTCCAGATATCGGGGACAGGTGATGAATCATTCCTATTACATGTATTTGCAGTTGATTCGATAAACAAAGCTTCTGTTATCAATCTCTCCCTATACCCTGTGACATTAGATTTTAAAACTGTCATCCTATCCCATCCTATTGTATGGTTGTGTGTGACTGCATGTAGTGCTATAGCTGAACTATTCTCTAGATTTCTTATTTTATTCGGGTCAACCAATCTAGATTTTGCTAAGTTTTTATGTTCAGCTAGTCTGACTGCCCCTGTTCTACTAGTTTGACATACATAGGTCATACATAGGTCAAACTAGTAGAACAGGGGCAGTCAGACTAGCTGAACATAAAAACTTAGCAAAATCTAGATTGGTTGACCCGAATAAAATAAGAAATCTAGAGAATAGTTCAGCTATAGCACTACATGCAGTCACACACAACCATACAATAGGATGGGATAGGATGACAGTTTTAAAATCTAATGTCACAGGGTATAGGGAGAGATTGATAACAGAAGCTTTGTTTATCGAATCAACTGCAAATACATGTAATAGGAATGATTCATCACCTGTCCCCGATATCTGGAAAATTCTACTCCCCCTACGACAAATGGGAGAAAACAAAGAAAGCTATAAAACTCAAGTGTCAAAGTCGTGTGATCACAATTGATATGATTATGAACAATAAATTTTGTTCGAAACGTCATCCAGTAAATAATACTGTTTCACTGTGTGATATACCTAATAAACAAACTAATATGGAATTACTTACTACCACAGTGCCCAAGTTTTACACATATATTAATATGACTTATGGTCTTCCTGTACGAAGACTTATCAATAAACTCACTCGACTTTCACAAACTGAAGCAAGATATGAAAATCATCGTATTTTCAACATTCGATGCCAAAAAAATGAAATCATTCCTAAATATCTACGTCTACGAGCACCAGTTCCATCGGACAGAGTTAGAAGCAGAATAGAAGGCCTACAAAAATTATGCCTGAAAGAAGAAATCCACAGAATCGTAAAAAAGTTGCAACATATCAGATCTGAAATTGAGCAATTAAAACAAAAGATAAAAGGAATAGTTACCAGTACAGATTATGATCTTATAACGCAGTCCTCCAGCATTGCAAAATCAGCAACTTTCAAAAAGTCAAAAAATAGTCAAATCAAAAAGTTCAACAAATTATTAGAAGAGAAATCTACATCTCAGAATGATGAAGTCAACAACAAAAAGTCAACGGCGATCGATAAATCAAAGTGGGTTGTCAATCTCTCAACACATACATTAAGTCCTACAGAAATAAGTGTATTAGAAAAGGGACTAAATTTCAATGTATCTCTAGACAAGCTGAAACCTGAGGATGTCATCCCTAAAATAGAAATAGCACTAAGTGGGATAGACAAAACTACGGCTGATGAAGTACGGGCACAATGTGCACTAACACTAAAACGACAAAAATGTGGAAAGCCTAACCTGACAAAACAAGAGATAGAAGCCTTGAAGCACCTTAAGAATAACAAAGATATAGTTATCACAAAGTCAGACAAAGGAAATGCAACAGTGGTATTAGACAAATCAGACTATTTGGACAAAGTAAATACTCACATACAAACAGGACCATATGAGGAAATTAATAAACCAATAGATACAGTTATGAATAAAGTTAAGAAATCCACAGCGGATCTTATACGCCGAATGAAGCCGTTTCTAGGTGAGTCTAAGTGGTTTAATTTAATGCCCAAAACTAATAACCCCAGTAGGATGTATGGTGTTGTTAAAGTTCATAAGTCAGGATACCCTATTAGACCTATAGTTGATTTTAGAAATTCACCTACTTATGAATTATCTAAATATTTAGCCATGGTATTAAATCCCTTAAAAAGCCACTCGAAATCTAGACTAACTAATTCTTATGAACTAAAACATAGATTAGATAATTTAAAATTAGATAATGAAGAAAAAATGGTTAGTTTTGATATTGTCAGTTTATACACACGTATACCAATAAATATGGCTATAGAGGCAGTCAGAAACGAACTCATTTCTGACCAAGACCTCGAACTTAGGACAAAAGTGCCACTTGAGGACATAATGCTGGGAGTACAGCTATGCCTGACTTCCACAGTATTTAAATTCCAAGGGAAAATATACAAACAAACTGAGGGAGTTGCCATGGGATCACCAATATCCCCAGTGGTAGCAGATATATTCATGAATAAGTGGGAAAGCATAGCGATTGAAACGTTCACCCCCACCCCAAAAGTATGGTGGAGGTACGTAGATGACACATTCACGGTACTTAGAACACAAGATATAGATAGGTTTTTCGAACACATAAACTCGAAGGTTGAGGCAATTCAATTCACTTATGAATTGGAAAATCAGGAAGGGGAGCTCCCAATGTTAGATTGCAACGTAAAAAGGAAAGAAGATGGGAAGTTAAACACTAGTGTTTACAGGAAACCCACACACTCAAACAGATATTTGGACTTCCAATCATCCCATCCTATGTCAGTAAAAGTAGGATTGGTGAAATGTTTAAATGACAGAGCACAAAAATTAAGTAGTACCAAAGAAAATCTAAACCAAGAACTGATACATATAAAAGAAGCCTTGAAACTTAATAATTACCCGGATAAATTAGTCAGGAAATATGTAAGGAAATGTAAAAATAAAATAAATAATGATAATAGCGATAGTGATTATAACAATAATAATGATAATAGTGACAATAATAATAATATTGATAACGACACCAACAATAAAGAGTCTAAATCATCAGTAGTAATTCCATACAAAGAAGGAACCTCGGAAGCCTTACGCAGAATTCTAAACAAGGCAGGAATAAAAACGGCATTCAAACCCACAAACTCAATTAGAAACAAGCTTTGTCGGCTAAAGGATCCTGTAGAGCCTTTAAAACAAAGCAATTTAGTTTATCTAATACCCTGCAATGATTGTCAGGTCAAATACATAGGTCAAACTAGTAGAACAGGGGCAGTCAGACTAGCTGAACATAAAAACTTAGCAAAATCTAGATTGGTTGACCCGAATAAAATAAGAAATCTAGAGAATAGTTCAGCTATAGCACTACATGCAGTCACACACAACCATACAATAGGATGGGATAGGATGACAGTTTTAAAATCTAATGTCACAGGGTATAGGGAGAGATTGATAACAGAAGCTTTGTTTATCGAATCAACTGCAAATACATGTAATAGGAATGATTCATCACCTGTCCCCGATATCTGGAAAATTCTACTCCCCCTACGACAAATGGGAGAAAACAAAGAAAGCTATAAAACTCAAGTGTCAAAGTCGTGTGATCACAATTGATATGATTATGAACAATAAATTTTGTTCGAAACGTCATCCAGTAAATAATACTGTTTCACTGTGTGATATACCTAATAAACAAACTAATATAGAGTGGTGGTATTTAAACCTACAAACTCACTCAGGGACAAGCTCTGTAGGTTAAGGGACCTTTTCGGTTGACCCAATTAGACAAAATAATATAATTTACAAAATACCCTGCAATGACTGTGAGGTCAGCTACATAGGTCAAACTAGTAGGTCAAGGGTAGTCAGATTGTCAGAACATAAGAATTTAGCTAAGGTAAGAATGATTGACCAGAGAAGATAAGTAATTTAGAAAAAAGCTCAGCAATTGCAATGCATGCATTAACACACAACCACACAATAGGGTGGGATAGGGTTAAAATTCTAAAGAGTAACATAGGTAGGTGGAAAGAGAGAGAGAGAGGTTGATTACTGAATCCTTGTTCATCAAGTCTACACCCAACACGTCAAATAGGAATGACTCATCACTCATACGGGAAATATGGAAAATACTACTACTATTACTACTAATCAAGTCAGGTGATGAACAATAATGGAATTATATCAAGGAAGTTAGAAAGTTGTCTGTGAGTCATGCCTTGATATGACTATGAGCAATGAATTGTGCTCGACACGTCATCAGTAAATATATAACACTGTTTAACTCTGTGAGGGAGAGGGGAAAACTATTTAATTACTGAATTCAAGATGGGTTGATTCTTTGGCGTTAGCAACAAGTTATCACATCATCAAGAATTTGGTAGAATAGCAATGATGACTAAGAAGATTAGGATGAGTTACGTGAAATGCAAACCAGCTAATAGTATTTGCTAGAATTGTGAAAATTAACAAAGTCAAAAGATAGTTACAAGGGGAAGGAAAGAATCGTTTTAAAAACTTAAAACATATTTTATGTAGTCGGCCATGGCAAAGAAGAAGCTGCTGTACAAATTTCTTTTGAATACACACACACGCACACGCACACATTTGGCTTGTTTAGATGAATTCCGATTGCCTCTGCTGTATGTGTAAAGGTGGTACTTGCTGAGGTTGAGTGATATACGATTAATAAATAACTTCAAAAGCTTTATCAGATTCGACTTGATGTCCATTCAATATGGAGTGTCACTTTCTTTCTTCACAACTGTAAATGTGCATCATCGACATATATCGGCAATAGAAATCAAGATTACATATCACATCTTTAAGCGGATCATTCTCTACTTTCGCCAGGAAAATATCTGCTAGCATTGCGCCTAGTGGTGATCCCAAGGCAAGACCATCTGATTGTCAATACATTTTTTTTATTGAACAGGAAATTTACGTTCATTGTACACCTTAATAGAAGTTCCTTTAGGGAAGACACAGCGATTCCAATACCTATGCCTTGTCGCTTAATCAATCCATTATCTATATAATCAATTGTCTCCATCAAAAGCACAACGGTGAATAAGGAGGATACATCCAGTGATATCATGTATTTGTCCTTCACACTTAATTCCTTGGTTCTTTCTACATACTCAGAACTATCTTTTACCTAGTTTTCTATGTAACGGCTGTAAACATTCCACCAGCCATTTCGCAGTTGAATGCTATGGTGAGCTAGACATATCGAGGACCGATCTGAGTGGCAAGCCGTTTTCGTGAATCTTCGGTGAGCCGGACAACCCGGGTGTCACCGGGCCTACAGTTTACCACTCCCCTTGTAACTATCTTTTGACTTTGTTAATTTTCACAGTCTTTACAATTCTAGCTAATTCGTTTAGCTTGTTTGCGTTTCACGTAACTCTTCTCAGTCATCCTATTCTTCGTAGTCATCATTGCTATTCTACAAACTTCTTGATGACGTGATAACTTGTTGCCAACCCCGAAGAATCAACTCATCTTGAATTCCGTAATTAATTAATTAATTAATTTTCACCCCTCCCTCCTTCAGAACTTGCATATCCTGTTACTAACATCTATTAGCTAATTGATGTTTTGATGACTTTTAACCTCTCTTAACTTTTAACCATCTCCACCCTGCTATACCTAAAACTGATTAACTGAAATGACCACTTGATTAGTAAAACATTTGGATGTGAGAAACGACCATATATTGGTGTAGAGCCAGCCAGTCAGCCAGTCGATGATGAGGAACTAAAATTCGTCTTTGATCAGCTGTCTTTTCAACGCAAGAGAAAACTGAAATCAGGAATGATACTGTTAGTCTCGATAGATCTCCCTATAGATCTAGTGTCTCGATCGATAAATACATTCTGAATTGACTTAGTAAGGAGAATTATTCAATGGTTAAATGATGATAGCACAAGTTAATACGTTGGGAATTCCTGATTCGATTGTTGCACCTTGTATATATACAGTACACAGCAATGAAGTTCTATTCTGATTGGCGATTTTTCATGAACAATGTGCTGCTCATAATCATGCCAACATACTTACATAACCCTCCAAATGTTTGTAATTATAATAGTTAACATATTTAGACCGTTTGATTGGACAGTTGGTAGTAACTAATGGCATACATCTAGTCCTTTGTTTAGTGCAAGCTGAATTCGATCAGTCAAGTTTGTAATGCGGTCACCATGCTAGATGACTCAAGACAAATGTGCATTGTATCAAATTCATATTCGATCTTCTTCTAGACAACAACTAGATTCACATAGATTCACAGCAATCCACTAGCCACAAATCTGTTTTATTATGTGTGTCATGAAAATTCAAAGCAGCAGGCCAATAGTTTTGTTAGACCACTTGAAATTCAACTTCAACAATTCGTACAATCTCATACAACCTGAATGAATTCAGTAATCACTTAGCATAACTGATATACTTCGCGTCATATTCACTGCATATAATGCTTGATTAATCAAATTAACCGATCTGTTCGGACTAATTTATTATTGGAGAAGTTTGCACGTCTGAAGACCAGTGGAATTCCAGTCTCAGGAAGCTATTAGAATTATGGCTTGCTTGTGATAATCATTGTTTATGCAAAGAATTGAATAATTGCTTAGATTATTCACCTTGTAATTAATAATTCCTAATAATGAATATGTTGCCTGAGTTTGCAAGGATATTTCGTGAATACTATCACCTCTAGTGTGTTCCATTCCATTTCAATCTCTCAGCCTCCTCAATTAGACAATTATTATACATGCTGGTGACAACTGATGGACACGTGTACGTCTGTGTTTTTAACCTCCGCTGGATTAATGATTTTTTGTAGAAGCTAGTCCAAACACCCTATCTTGTCTTCACTTCATTTGAAAATTCAACAATGCTGAGTTGTTTTTCTTAAAAAATAAAATATAATGCTCATCCTGTGTTTCACTGCCAGTCACCGTCCATCAAATCACTTCAGACATCACCAGAGCACCCTCACAAGGAGCTGACTGACATGTCAACACAGAGAGTTCGACCACTTCGATCCAATCAATCAACAGGGAAAGTCCCAGGTGAACATTAAATGTAAATCTAGTCCACTCCTCCCATGCGACTCACCTGAGGCGTAAAGCAGTAAGTGTTCATTGTCTTGATTTCACAACACAGACCTACCACCACCCACCATACCTAAAAACGTAGTTTATGTGAACAGTAGTCAAAACATGACAGTGCATTGATTTCAAATGTCCAGCAGTTTCCATACAACGAAGGAAAGTCAGACGCATCTCGTGTAGAATAGGAATTACAGTGGATTTCAAGTCAGCCGACTGGTCATGCAAAAATTAAATAAAATAACACCCCATAGCCTTATGATTCCCCACCTTTCTGATTCCCCTGTATCATCATAAAATTCTAGACATATCTAATCACAGTTTAAAAGCCAAAAAGCACCTGGAGACAGAAAAGGTCTAACACTGTGTATTTTATTTTCTAATAAAGTCTTAATGATTTCATCAAAGTGTGTATTAATTAATGTGCAACATTAATGACTTTTAATATTCGTCTGACTGACCGGTTTCAATGTAGAACTACTTTGCACAGATGTGCACCAGCACTTCGAGTTGCCACACACTCCCTCCATGCAGCACACAAAGCAAGAGAAAAGATTAAACAGAGATTTGACACACGCACACACACACACACACAGATAACAAACAGAAGTGTGAGGCAACAATAAGAGTAATATGGAAGAATAATAGACTTGCATTGCACATGATAAATCACAAAGAGTGAATGCATCTGCACCAGCCAGCCATCATCAAGGACGATTTTGAGCCATATCAACACCGATTGTCTCCAGCCTTCATTGATTTTTACCATCCCGAAGACCGCAACCACGAAGTCTACACATGCCTTTAACTAACTGTTGTGGATTTCGTCGGCTGATGAATCAGTGTCATGGTTTGACCACCATTAGCTAACTCTTTCCCAGCCTGATCCTACCTGTGTCAGCTAACATTGGTCATCGATTGAGGAAGGCGATGTCTAGGCATGCATGAGTAACACATGTCATGACCACCTCAATCGATGTAACTGCTTCACAACCTCGTCGATTGATTTCCCCCTCCTTATCTAGCACACGACGCCTGACTTCAATATTGACTACCCTACTACACCAGTTGACACACCAGTAAGAATGCAGGCATTTTCATATCTCTCACTTTCAATGGCCATGTCTCACAGACATGAAGGAAGACAGAGAGAACTGCTGAGCAGTGAGAGATACTATGTCAAGAAAATACAGAATCTTAGCTAGTCTATAATAAACCATATTGATGGAATGTCTGAACTAGATCTCAAAGCAACTCAGGTTTTTAAGAGTGCAGTTCATACGTGTGTGCACGTGTCTATATGATGACTAGTGAGAGAAAAAAGACAACACTGTTGATAAACTTCAACAAGATACCTTGATATATACTGAAGAAGGGTGAAACGAACACTGAGTATTCTCAATGCCACGTGTCAGTCAAATGATAAACAAACCGTCAACTCACAGAAGTCCTGAGGGTGAAGAGAGGAAGAAGTAAGACAAGGCTGCCTGCTATCAT